CAACCAGTGACTTCCTTCTTAAGCCTACTGTAGAGCTAGCTTAGTGCACCTATCAGCAATGACGTACATTTTAGCTTACTTTAAGGTAAACTATGCTTAAGATACCATCATGTCCGAATGTACTTCCAAATAGTCTTATAACCACAAGCGCATTTATTTTTAATTTAATGTGAGCAGAATTTTACTGAAGATCATTTTACTTTCGTGCTTTTTCATTCACATGGTGTCCCAAAAAGATATGTACACGTATTCAATGAATTAAATAAATACATTGTAACAAACCATTACGTACGTCAGCATTGGCACTTAGTGAAATAACTGATCTAGTGCAGGCGTTAAAAATGACCACCGTCCACGTCTTCAGAAAACACAACACACGGGGATCAGGAACTCAGATTACAGAGAAGCAACATACATCAGGCTATAAGTTTGGGCTGTACTTACGTTGCAGCTGTTTAGCAGGTACATAAATATGGACAAGTACTCAGGTATTTCATGTAAAGCAGCCCATAACTTTATCAAATACGAAATGAACTAACAATTCGTACATTTAAAATAATTGTATGTCGTGCTTATATTTCTTTCTGTGTCGTTAAATTAAGTATGCCCCTGTACATTGTCTGGTATTATTAACACGGGTAGAAAATCACGCACTACGTTAAAAGAATAAATAATAAGACTTTTTTACATTCGATAACGAAAAATTGCCACTCGTAACGAAAACAAAAAACATATACCTTGCGCTCTCGTAAAGTAAAACAATGAAACAGAGTTCGAAATATGAACTACATTTCATAGCCATGGGTCAATTGGCAATGTGTACAGAACTTAAAATCATAAAAGTGTGTATATTTACCTTATCTGCGAATAATAATTTAAAAAGCAAACAAAAGATTTTTCATTTTTAAAATAATAAAGTGTCAGAACAAATTCAATGCAAAGATACCGTCATATCAACAAATTAAAGAATCACAAGGTAATCAAAACAGCACACAAGTCATACTAAAAATGAAAATGTTATAGAAAGTTCATGTGAAATTTCTCAACCTGATGTTGCAATGTTGTCTAATTCTTGCCGCGACCATGAGCCAGCATAAAAGGCGTTTGCTTGTGAGCGTACGTTAAAAATCGAAAAGAATGGAACAGTGCGAAACTCCATACGTATGTCAAGAGATTGATCACGGCGCGGTATAATTATTAAAACTTACAAATCGTACTAGCATTACATTTCAGGCCTACATTCAAGAAGGTAAGCACGTACCGTAAGTTATTTTCGGAACTTTTAGTTAAGTTACAGAAGAGTCCTTCTTTCGAAGCTGATAATCGTTCAGTTCGTCAATAAATTCCCCGTCTTTTATGGAATCCGATAACTCATTGCCATGTTCTCTTCGTCGATGTATATTCACTTCATTCCGTCAAAAACTACAAATAAGTTTCTTAGCCTCCGAAAGTGTGAATCGACTAATATTTTTTCTGTTCACGCTGCTTTCCGGTAGGTGATGCTCCTTAAAATACGCCAGAGCCAAACCATGTTCTGTCTCGCTTATTCCACAGCAGTTAATATAGTAATAAGAATCAGAAAAGAATACAGGGGAGATAAACGTCAATCATAACATTAACTCGGACAAACATTTGCAAACATATCACTGAACCTCCCACGGACCACAATTATCACATTACAGGTAGCTTTTGTACAAAAGCTTACTTCAATGGCCAGCAGGTGGCTCCGTAGCCTAATAAGTCGTCCTGCCATCTGTCGATAGAATGGACTATTATTACATTTCGGATGAGCATTGAGTTCCCTTCAATACGTCAAATCAACACATTTTGGGCACATCATCTCTTAAACTGAAGACCGGACATGCAAACATAATAAACATTCAAAACGATAACAAATTTACAAAAATATCCTAAATCCAGCTACCCATGTAACTACATGCCTGCAATGAAAATGGATTAAACCAAATAATGGAAAATTACAATTTGCCATTTAGTTCATAGAAATATGTATAATGTTACAACTAAATCGTAATCACGGTAAGGCAATCAGTATTAAAAACTGAACTTTATTTTTGTCTAACCATGTTTAATTGGAAGTGAAAACAATGATTTGCTTTTTTGTGAACTGAAAAATTTCCTCCACATTCTCACAACAAAACACAACATTTGCAACTTGCTAGCATTTTGCAATGTTAACTGTTAACACCCCACCCCCTCCTAGGTGGGATCATTGACACCTAATGATGGAACATTCTGTGGTTACAATGAACTCATGTAACCAAATGTATACTCTTCAATAAGTATTACTGAGATCATCAAATCAGGCAAAATGTTTGTCAGATAAGCTGAAGAAAAACAATAAATAGGCACAGATTTGATTATGACAATATTAAGCTGAATCTTAAAATGCCTGGATTTATCTGGCTTAGGATGAGATAAAATAATGATGAAATAATTTAATTTATTATTCACTTTAATGTCCCAAATTTGAGTCATGATTATAGTGAACAATCAAACATATCCCACATCGGCCTCAACTGCCTATCTTTGATGTTCTTAACTGTATTGAGATACAGTTGTGAGGCAGCACAGCAACCATTTAATGGATAACATAAGAGGGTAAAAGAGAGAGCCTCTTGTAGGGAATTATTTAAGAAGTTTAATATTCTTCCACTACCCAGTGAATTCTTACTCTCACTATTATCATTTCTAGTGGATAACATGGAAAAATTTCAAACAAATTCAGATATCCACAATATAAGAAAAGGATACAGATACAACCTTCATGTGCCAAATTCTAACCTCAGTAAATATCAAAAAGGAGTTTACTATAATGGAATTAAGTTATTCAATAATTTTCCACCTACTATCAAAAGTTTAAACCACGATATGAAAATATTTAAGCCAGCGTTAAAAGAGTGTCTCACTCTTTCTATTCATTAGAAGAATTTATAAACACATATAAGTAACAATTGTGGTGGTTTCTAATCATAATTATTTTGCTTTAAGACTGTAGCTCGAAAAATCTGTAAATAGCTATTTTACCTATGTATTTATATTTGTACTAGAAACAAGTATTGTATTTGTGCTATGACCTATTCTACATCCTTTGGCCTATGAAGGGTCTATGGAATGTAAATAAATTCTATTCTAAATATTGTTTTATGATTTGAACGTAGAGGGTGGTTTGGATAACTTTATCACAGCATACAATATTCTGCTTGCTCTTTGGCCTTTGCCAATGGAATGTAGTTCATATACAAATCTTATACTTCCATAACCACATTTATTGTTCCCAGAAGTACCATATCTATTGGACATCACAATTTAATTTTACTACACTAGCTGTACTATTAAAACTACTCCTTTTGAGAATTTTTCGAAAAATATTCTTTACTATAATGCTGTACTTACAATTTATAGAAACGTTCAGGCCACTGTAAGTCATACATGCAATATACAATTCCTACGTTACTTTTATATTATTATTATTATTATTTAAGGATCTGTATCTCTCACTGTACACTCTTCGAACATTTTCATTAGGCATAGTATCACGTTGAACTGTAAAATCTATCTAACCTAAAGCTTAGACTGTCAGATATCTAGTGAGTTACTTACCATATTCAGAGATTTATTACTTCTTTAACCACAGCAGCCTGGAATTTAATTGAACAATCATTTTCTGCGATGACACGTAAATATGCGATACTGTGAATACGTACAATTATTTACAGGATTATGCACTAAACCAAAATACAAATGGAAATAAAGCGCGCCAGTAACAGAAACAGCCATTGACCTAATTTCCCTACCAGGAGGAAAAACATTCCCTTACCGATAATATAGAAGGGACATTTCTTCCCAATCGATATATCTGAAAATGATGCGTTTTAGCATTTTTTACATGGTATTCAAATGTTTTTTCTGTTAATTTTAAGCCAAAATGTCGCTGTAATATTATAAATCAGCCTACTGAGTGCCAAAATTTACCAGAAACTTCAAATTGATTTTTTATCTAAACCATTTTACAAAATACGCTTTTGACACAAGAGAAATATCATCTTTTGTTTGTTTCTGTGCAATTTTTCATCGGGAAATTTAAGCTCTTGTTCTCGAGAAATTTTGACAGCCACCAGTGAAATTTCTTTATAATACTCGTGCACTCATTCATAAACACTATAAAGTTTACATACTCTTTACGTCATTTCTAACAGGTTTTGGATTTTTTTGCATAGTAACACACTAGCATACTTTCGTATTTGAATGGAGTTCATGCTATTTCATTTGACAAAAGAAGAGTCTTTTTTATCGTGTAGTATGTTTGTTCTATCAGCTTTCACTCCTTTTATTAGTTTCACTGTTGTTTAGATTAAAGTTTTTCATATTATTGTTCCTTATGCTAGGCCTGACAATTTTTAACACAATTAACTTTCATTGACTGTGTATGACAGCTTATGTATGGTCCAGGTAGCCATGCATTGCAATAGCATACTGCTAAACCATTAAACCCTGGCCAGCAGCTCCATAATGTGAGGGTTTAAATCCACTACTCCCACATGATGAAGAAGGTTAAGTGTCTTTGTGAGATTTACTAAGAATATTCATGTACATTCTCATAGGGAGATATGTGATAGAGACCCTAAGTTTAGTGAAACTAGTTTTGATTCATTACTTGCCAAAATAAAACTTTCAAGTTGAAAGTGAAACAGAAAAAGAGCTAAACAACAATGTCAAGATTAGGATTATCCTGACAAAAGACAGAACAGAAAAACAACTAAGTAGTAGCATCAAAGTAAGATTATCTTGACAAAACTTGATTTAACCCTGTGAAGTCTTATCAAGTGTTCAGGCTTGTGAAGATAATATTGTTTATATTTGTCTCCTGGGCTTTAATTTCATGTAGACTTCAGGTAGATACCAATGTTTTGGAGAAAAATACTGACTCCCTATTTTTCTGTACACAAGAAACAACTCATGAAAGGATAACCTGGTTTCAATTAAATTTTTATCTTGTAAAATGTAATGAAAAACTGACAAACTACATAAATTTTCATTTAGACTGGACAACCATTTTACATAACAGTACAAATATTTACTTCATTTACCATGGTTACTTGGGAAAGGAGAAATATTCATGACAATCATGTAGCCAGACACCCCACCCACATAAATGTAACTGAACCATCACTGGCACAATTAAATACTTCAAGTGGCAATTCTGCCAAATGCACACTTCCTAACTTGTTTCCTCTTACATGTCTACGATTTACTAGAAGGATGAACATAGAAAAAAATCAGATAAATGTTTTAGGGAGGTTCTACTACAAGAGAGAGATTAACGCATCTTTTTTGGAAAGACCTTATATATATAGTGAAATGTGATAAATTTAAAATTATAGGAAAAATACATATGAGCAGCATGCTGTGGTAACTTTTATCACAAAGTTTTCCATACTTTGGTCACACATTATATCATTAATAAGTCAAATAATGCACACCCCTACGTTATTCATTTGACAACAACTACCTGACTACCTATATCTTACAATGGTGTCATGAAAGTTGTCTTTATCCTAAACTTTTATTGTTTGTACATCGTGGCTCACGTGTGAGACACTGACCATGCGCTGCACTAGCAAACAGCTGGAACTTAATCCTGGAGTTATAGTTTTTGCTGTCAACCCCACAGTATGAGAGTTTACATCCCCTGTATCTATATGATAAAGGTTAAATGGATAGGTCAGCCCCTTCCCATCAAAGTATACCAACAGCTTAACATATCCAATGGCATTTTTAAACTCTGTAATTGTTCTTGTGCATTGCCATTTATTTTAATACATATAATCTTCCCTTGAGAACAAATTGAATGTGTTCCAGCTCAAATGGAAGCATTGAGTCCAAAGACTGCATTGCAACTCATCTCTTAGCTGTCAAATAAACAGTAATATTATATAGTTATAAATGATACATCAAGAGGTCTTGTAGATAGCTAGGTTTTCCAACCGTGAACCGAGCTTTCAGAATTGAGTTTATCAAATAGCAGGGTATGTTGATGGGTTAAGTCTCCAATGAATAAACTTGTAAGATTTGAGGTTTTCACAGCGGTGAGTATGAAGATTTCTGTCTTCTGGGTTGTTGCTCTATGTAGTCTGGTCGATGTTAACCAACGTTTCAGAGGTCATACTGCCTCCGTCATCAGGGCGATGAATATTTCATCGACCAGACTACACAGCGCAACAACCCAGAAGACAGAAATATTCATGAATAAACTTCACTATCAGGGGCACAACTTATAACCCTGTTGCACAAAGGCCAATGAAACACACAAGCTGAGATCCATCATGAAGAAACATGTACGGCCATATACTACCAAACAACGTTTGAACGTGTTTGTAGCTCAGGATGCGCTGGAGAAGTTTCCACTGTGCCATTTTCAATTGGCTCATACAGCTCTTCAGTTTCTATTTGTTTTAAGGGTTCATGTTTCATATGGTATCCAACAGAACGTTTGTTTCCATTGCCAAGAGATGCTTCCATTTTCTTGATAATATGTTGGATGCGAGCTCCATTTCCTCCAGATCCTTCTTGACGAAAGGCAGACAACTTTATCGCTACGTGGTCTTGTTCGGTAAATCCGATATCATCATAAATATCATCCCCTTCTTCCTCATTGTTCTCTATATTAGATTCTTCGGGTTCTTGCTGTTGCAACTCTCCTGCACTGGCACCAATCATATTACAGTACACACTACTAGAACTGGCAATTCCAATGTCATCATACACTGCATCTTCTTGTAATGGATCCTCCTGAGGCACAGGTGGGATGGAAGGTTCTTCTTCTGTATGTTTTAATTCAGAACCGGACTTTGATTGAACTTGTGATCCTTTTTGATAAACATCTGCAATATCATGATAAAGTTCCTCTCCATCAGATTGAACTGGTTCATAATTTTTTTGCCTGTTATCATTAAAGTTTATTGTCGAGCCAACATCATCATATGTTTCACTGTCACTATCGGGAAGTGAGGGTAATTGTCGTTTGCCGAGCAAAGTCCTCTCGTGCACACGATGCGGTACTGTAGGAGTTGGTTGGGTACTTGCTAGACGAATAGCAACCACCCACTGACCCATATCCTTAGCAGTTCGTGCGACAAACTGAAACAGATGCGTTACAATTTTAAATTCACTGTCACGCGCATATTACAAAGCACTTAAATTTTTTCCACGTTATTTAAAACTTGTTGCCATTAAAATACTCATATTTCAGTGTAATCAAAGAAACCCTAATGACAATTCTTATGTTTTTATTAACTTTTATTTGAAATATAAAAATTATAGTAAAACTGAAGCAGTAGAAATTTAATTTTAAGTGCGTAAATTTACGGGCCCAACTGGGAAAAATTAAAGATGGGAACATTTTTTACAGAACTAAATATGTATCTGGTACATTGAAGAATATATGACTACAAACAAAAACTGTTAACTCGTTACAACAGACTGGAAAATCACAGACTCCCAAATTCGCTCTTAAAGATAAAGAAACAGGATACGGACACAGGAAAACCATTCAGCATGGTGTGCATTGGTGGTTAGCAGGATTCGCGACCCATCAGTACATGGGTTCGATGGGACCACGACATTTAACGCTCCTGCTGTGTCCCCCTTTATACATTCAATGAAAGAAATAAAGACCCTCTGCCATTTTGTTTACATGAATCATGGGAAAATACGTAGCAATATCATCTGTTACGTGTAGAACACACTGGGTTTTCCTCGTAAACACTACACATGAAGATCAGTAGTAAGGTTAATATTCTGTATTATAATGTGTACACATCTTTTTGGGACATACTGTATATGTAAATTAATTTACCTGATATGTTCTCTTCCCTGGACATACAATCTCAAATGCAGAAACTTTCCTTTTAGGATCCTTGTAATTATTGGTAGTTAAGGGTCGAGCGTCATAACCCTGTACGTCAAAGGAACTGCTTGGTTTAGCATCACGTTCAGAGTTGTACAAGAGCACGACATGACCATAGATTCCGGCGCAACATCGTCGCCACTGATCCAAGAAGATGAACTTTTCTTTACGCCACAATGGTCCGCACTTATTAGTCATTGTCCGAAGTTCGCTATAAGGAAGTGATAAGTTCACATAATCCTCAGACTGGCCAGAACTTGAAGTAAGCGATGTCTGACTTTCTACCGGAAGTTTTGCAGGAATTGGTGTGTGACTCAGCTCTGGAAACTCTTCATATTCTTCCTCCACTTTGTCGGCATTCACTTCGGCGTCCACATATTCTTCGCGGGCACCTGTACGCAAAATATACGTATGCTATGACGTATCATATATGGTATAAACTATTTCAAATCTGAAACTTACGCGTCTATGACGCAGAAGACTAAGGCTTATTCATGGGTTAGAGGAAACTGAAAATAAATTAATATTAAGAAAACGAAACACCTTGTAAACTGCTGGTAATCAGTGTGTGATGTACCAGAGTACTGCAAAATTTAAAAACACGATCGAGCAATGTATGATTTTAATGAGGACACATCGTGTTTTCCATATGGCAGAAACTAAACTTTTAAATATTGTTTAGACAAACATCATGCATCGCAAAGTTCAATATCATGTTCATAAAATTTAATTACAAGACCCCATTCTGCTACAGATGACTCCAGTCTCTATCTTCATAATTGTTTCTCTAAATCCATTTGAAAACTTTCCTCCCATCTATGCAAACGTTTCCCAGCCAAAATCATGTATGAATTTCTCATTTTCTCCATGCAAGCTACATGATCCACCCGTATCAAAATCCTTGACTTCATTTCGTAATTTTCTTTTTTTTTGGGGGGGGGGGGTAACTAAAAATTATGAAGATATTCACTACACAGTTTTACCCATTGTGCCTGTTACTTTCTCTTTATAAACATGAAAACATTCTCATCAGCAATTTGTTCTTAATCCCTCTCAATCTAAATTATTTACAAAAATTTGAGGACCACCGACTGTCGACTACCCGCAAAAGCTTATTTAACTTTTTCGCAGTTGTCTTCCATTATCTGAATCCTCAAATTTTTTGCATTCAGGGAATATTACCTTTGGGTCCATTCATGTCGAGGTAAGGCGGCGGTGTGTTCGGAGAAGCCGTAACTTCGGACCGCCGAATGTGAGGTTCCAGGCGCTGCAGAAGCCCAGCCCGCTGTACTTCCGCCCTCGGCGAGAGAGGCTCTCCGACCAGGGTCTCTCCAAGAAACCGCCCCATCTCTATTGTAAAAGATATGTGTACGTCAGTCCATTGCAAGTTCTGCAAACCCACTAGTAAAGTTCTTACTCTGAGCATTACCAGGGATACAGTGTTTCGCAAATATTCAATTTGCGTTTGAATAATCAAATATCAGTTCTGATAATAATATTATTGTACTTTTATTTGATTTATTTAGTGTTCTGTCTGACGACAGGTACATATGAACAGGATCCTTCCATCCTTTTCTCGGACTGGGACCTGTTCATATACGTTCTTGGCAGATGATCCACAAGTGGTTTGCCATTGCCTTCTTCTGTGTGTGAATGGAGTAATTGTTGGGATGCCATGGAGAAACCGGGAAAGCCCCCCGGAGGAAAACTCCGTGTTGCCTAGACCACGGCCTTGCCCAAAACAAGTTATAAATTCGGGCACCGCCGGGAATCGAACCCGAAACCCCAGGATTACAAGGCCAGCGTTCTAACCGCTAGACCACCGTGGCTCGTACGTTTATACAGAATATAAATTATAAACTACCAAATATTCGCAAATTTATATCACTAATTCCTAGACTGATTATTCTGCGTTTTGAATAGTGAAAACAAGCAACGTAGATAATTCCCATGGGAGTGCAATTCCATGTTCATGTTCTGCTTAATGGGATTTCCATGCAAACTGAGAAGTGCTAAAAACACAAACACTATACAAATACTCTGCAGGGAACACTGATATCTAACTCCACACGGTACAATTCTTGAGAAGAAAATGGTACCACCGTTTTTAAAGAAATTGCCATCTTTTATGGAACTAAAACGTTCATTAACCATAGGGGATACGACCCTTGAGCTTGGTTCCCAGATAATTACCGGATATGGCTGTAATACGTAACTAAGGCGGTCGCGTGTCACATCGGCTTTTGAGAGCCCACGCGTTGCTATAGTGATGCCTCAGCAGAGTGCCAGTAAGCGTTGCCAGCTGCCGCTCGTTGGAACATCCTCAAGAATGTCCGAATGTTGTACAAATGTAACATCAAAAGTCAGTACAGTTTTCATACGCTGTTATCAACAACACACATTAGGCATGAATGACATATCATAGCTGGATTTATAGTTCGTCTAAAATCTAAATTCCATGAACAGCTACAAAGTAACAAAGTAGACGCTACTGAGTTCCAAAACGATTTCATCCTCACACACCTGCCAAGGTGACATTCGTTTTGAAACATATTAAGTCTCTTCACTACAGGATAAAGCCGGTTTTATCTCCACGCCCCAAACATCTCCATAAAGTTATATTGTACTTATTTATCTTATCCGTTTCTGTGGTCTAATGACGCAAAGGTGAAGTCGTCTTCGAGGCTTAACTAAACACCACGCCATGAAGATGTGTGCTTGCAACATCCGATATTTCAGGTTCTCGCGGACATGTCACAGAAATGGCGGGCAGTTTGTATACCTCTGGGTTACACGCAGAAACAATATTTGTATTCTGTACGCATGATGTCTTCCAAATACAACATCTGAGACGTCGCATACCAGTAGGTAATGGCCTCTATATTTAGTGTCTCATTTGCATGATGACAGACCATCTTATTCAGCGGAAGTAGCCTACAATGATTGTTCTATCCGCTGATAAGAAACGTTTCCTTTGTTTGATAACTTCGAGTGATAATTAACAACATCCACTGCTCTACACTTCTACTGTACTTTCAGGCCCTCATTATTTATGACGATGAGTTGGAAAAGTCTAATAGGCCACGACCAACAAGTCTATAATTATTGAAACTTCAAAGCGAAAGGAATTATTAGATATAAGAGTATTTAATCAACAGGAGACCAGAGATAATTACCGGAGCTTCAAGTTGTCAACTCCATTTAGTGCCGAGTTTAATTAAGAATTAGTGGATCTATACTTACCTACTTCATGCACCATCAAGGCGTAGTCCTGAAATGAACAGGCCCACAGGGGCAAATTCACTTCTTACTGACACCAAAACTATGTAGCACAGACACTTCGTTCAAACTGCCAATTCGTTGGATTTTCATGAGACTGGATATAAACATACGATTATAGGCCACCACTAACACCAACATAGTCAAAATTTCCTTCCAAAAATACGCATGTTTTTTGAGGAAATTCTTTTGTAGAATATAAAACAACCTATGAGATTTTAAATTTCCGCGGCAATAAAATTGTAGAGTGAGGTCTTCTCGCGTTGTGTTGTATGTGGTTTTCAACGTTTAGGAAAGTGACCCTAGGTCTGGAAAAGGTTGAGAACCCCAGTCCTAATATAACCTTGTTTTACGCATGCGTGGACAGAACCAAATAATATGGGGAGTAAATACACAGAGCCAGAATTTCTTCGCCGCGTGAAATATTTTAGTCTCTCGCTCGACGTTCAGACGCGTCCGTAAGTGGCACAGGTTATGCAGTGAAAGTGTCCCACCCCACAAGATAATTTAAAATACTCGGGTTAAGAAGCAAAACGCAAATATCCATCATGACATGAAACCGTCTCTACTCATTACATGAGAATATCAGTCAGAGCTGAAGCAAAGTCATATGTAAATCCATTTCATTTGTCCGAGCATTTCTTCCTTCGTTAGACATTATTGAATGACATAACGTTTGACTCAAAGAGTGTATGAGACATCCGCCTGCATTACAGGGCCAATTGAATTCATCAAGACATACGGTACAGTCTCGTTAAAACAACAATGCCACCACCATTTTGTTCCTAGACACAGAATGAACGGAAGCTGACTCAGATATGTGGCTCTTCTTTGTCCGATGAGCACTGAGTTTAGCTGTTTAAATATTATTTAGACGATCTTCGACTTCAAAGTGATAAGTCTTCTGGTGACTTGTCATGACACCGACATCTTCTGTGTTTATATTGATTCAAAGAATCGGGCGATCAACCGAACTATTTAACCTTTACTACTGTACTAATATCTTGTCAAAAATTCCAGTGCTATAACTGTTTCTTTTACTAAATCATATTTATGTTTATATCTGTTAGTACTTGGCAACTAATCAGTTAAAGATGTCAGAAAACTGGATTTGTACAATCAATAAAATCTTCTCGGGCAATCAGCCGCGTTAACTGGCGACTTCCGAGGATCTCGTCACATCAGAACCCTGAAAATGGGGACAGAGTTTGTTCCCGAAACGTCGGTTTACTACGGTAACCAGTTAACGCGGCTGATTGCCCGAGAATATTTTATTGATGTCAGAAAATTATTTAAGACTCTCAAAATATCACAAAAATAAACCTCCAAAACAATGGACAACAAAAAAAAACTTGAAGCGTCTATGAACCCAGCACTGTCACAGAGCGTCTCTCAGTCACGTTCAATTTTTCCACATCGGGATTTCAGGTTTTCTTCAGTCTCCCTGCAAGTAGTTATGTTTGCTTCTCGTATATAATCAGCAAACAGCTCATTCTTCTTTATGACTGCTTCCAATTACCATCACAAAAATAAGTAAATAAATATATACATACTATATTAAAATATTAAACCAAGGACGTCTACTCTGGCTACAGTAGACGTGCACATGTTGCAAAATAGTTTGCAACGAATGTCACAAATATTCGAATTACTTACCAAGTAATAATTCCTTTAATGTGTCAGACGTCGAAGCCATATTTATTCACGTTAATCCTCAAAGCATTGTGATGTTCCTGGAACGCAGCTCCGCTGATAGTCACAGAAGCCACACATGACAGACACTGAACCTCCCGCGGAGTCCGTTCACACTATTTCCATTACATTCGACCAGACCGCAGAGCCACCTATGCGTATATAACATAAAAACAAAAGCAGGACGGGTAATACTCCGTTCGCGTGTATAGTTACGTATTGGAGAGATTTCGTAAAGCGAGTCGGTATTCCCCGTACACACAATGTTGTAATTGGACGTTTGGTTCCGGGAATGCAGAAAAATTCAGAAAACGGAAAAGACGAATCAACAGTTTTATTGCCTGAAACGAAACATTAGATTAAACATATGCTATAAAAATAATTTATTCTTCAACATAAATACATCCTTTTAACAATGTGAAAATGTAATTCTTTTGCGTTCTCGTGGTACGAGTTCGACTTTGTTCGGATGACATGCCAAACGGGCGGCATACGCTTCATTATAAAAGTTTATTGCCCTTCTACTGAAGTTAAAATAAATACACATAGGTGTATGATTATTTAATTTCATAATCTGAGTAAGATACATTCAACATAAAGTCGTGGTCCATTTCAGAGTATCTCTGGCCAATCACAAAATTCCAGAATTATCATGCTATGTATACATCTCCCTGATGATAGAGGCAACATGGACCTCTAAAACGTTGGTAGACATCTACCAGACTACACTTCACAATAACCCAGAAGACAGCAATCTTCTCTCCCATCAACTCCACCCCAATAAAATTAAGTCATAAGATGGATTATAATGAATCTGAGTACTACAAAAATTAATTTTATATGATGTTATAAGTGACAGTTCGTGGGATAAGGTTAATGTGTAAAGGAATCTGAATGGGAGACAAATCAGTGTTATTAAGTTATATAAACTCTTTTCTTTTCTTTTTTCTTTTTTTTTTATCTTACAAAAGGAAAAATAGTATCTATATACACTTTACAAGAAAAAATTAATGCGAGCAACTAAGTATTGCTTAGTTGTGTCAAGAGAGAGCAGTGCATATGAAAATTAAATGTATCAACAATATCTTTCACAATTTTTTAATATAACTAATATTTATAGTAGAAATTCATTTATCTGAAGACTCAAACTGCATTAGGATGTGACATTTCATTCAGTTGACTTAGAAACAATCCATCATATCCAACCGAAGTTACATTCAAGGTCAAACTGTTTCCCACCCACAGCGGTTATAAAATATATGAAGAAATAAGTTTGTACCATAAAATGTAGTTTTAATACTAATATCATAACTTTAAATTAACTGAATTAGTTAGGTGTCAATTCTAGTTCTGTGTTGATTTTATTCTTCACTACTCTCTACGCTACTTAAACACACAGTTATGTAATTTCTTCTAAAAAACATGGCATTGGCAGGAAGATTATGTCAGCTAATGTGCAGAGCCTTTACACATGCATTCAATTCTGCTGGATCTCATATTTTTCTCATCACAAATGTTGAGCAAGATATGGAAAATATCAGAAAGAAAGAAATATTACTGATATGCACAACAAAAATTAGACATTCACTCATTCTAAGGAATGTAGCTAAGGCACTGTGCATACAAACAAGAATTAACACCACAATTAATCATCAATGCATAACTAATCAGAAAATGCATTATGCATAATGAAGACAGAAGTTATCAGTTTTTAAAGAACCAATATAGAAGTCAAAACATCTGAAATGCCCTTGACAGAGAAGAATTCTCTTTACGTGCTCATGACCAATACTGCTTTATGCATTGTTGGGTCTCTGACATTTTAATTATTGTTAGAAATGTGTACCTTTTCTCTTATAAACTGGGTCCTTGCACTAGGTAAATAGGGCAGCAGTTATTTCCGGGATACATATTGTTTTTAGCAAGTGCTACATGTAGTATATAATTTTATTTTATGACAGCGTCTTTCGAATGATGTATGAAGTTCCCAAAATGGCGGTCTTCTGCAGTTCCCTGATGTCGTGTTCGCCCAGGATGTTGGCCAAATATTTTCTGAGTTTATTATTATTATTATCATCTTCTCTCCACCCCACCACCAAGCGCCTAAATGGTGAATAGCAGGACAGCTTTCCTATTTTTTTACATGACATATCAGAGCATAAATATCAAACTGTAACTGAAGTCAAGCCAAAGATGGATGAATGAACAACTTCTGCATGTGATGAAAGGTAATTAGCAGTGAACTGAAGACAGTAATTCTGATCTAAATAAAATAGTTGTGATGATAATGATGGTGATTCTGTACTTATAGTGACAACAGAAACAATTATAATAATTCAGTTAATAGAAAAATAAAATCTGCTAGAAACTCACACATTGTACAAAATGCAAAGGAAAGACATATGAATTATATCACAAGTAAATATCTTTTCTTGTAAAAGCAGTCTTTCCTGAATAGCAGCTACAAGCAACAGGAAGGATGAGAGGTCAGGAAGGCGGTAAAAGTTATCCTATATGTATTTCTTTAGATATATAAAATTTTAGGCAAAGGAACATATCAGTCACAGTACATTAACAAAAAGAAAACTGTATCATCTCAGTACATGACTCTATAAATGTTTAAAATAAAAGTCTGCTTCGTAAAATGTATGACAAGCACGGTTTGTTTGTTTTTATTGACATAACAAAACGTCATTTAGAACATTAAATTTCACATTAAAATTCTTATTACAGGTACCAGGTATTAAAAATAATTTCTTATTTCAAATCTTTGGTTTGTATATACATAGTAAAATAACTAAATGGTTAAATATTTTAAGTGTAATAGAGCAAGTGGCTAAAATAAGTGCACAAATGTCAACTATGCACATCCACATACCAGCTTATGAGATTGTCAAAATGTGCATGATAGTGAAAATATACGGTACATACCTACAGATACATAACATGGCATAAGAAACAAAAAAGAAAATGTCCTAAAACTCACCAAATTATCTCAAAAAGCTCACAACCTACCAAGTTACGTTAAGTATTGCCGTTAAACAAGGGTTGCTGAACGAGGAATGTTCTGATCTTGGTACCAAGCCAACATCTCTGTGGAGAAAGCGTCAGCAAGTGACTCTCCGCTTCCCAATACCAGACTTCCATCCAATGACGCATTTGGTGAAACCACCCGACTCCTGCAAATACAATTCATACATATGTGGCTTTCAACTTAACAGTTGAACATCAAATTAAACTTCAGCCCTTAAGCTGCAGAGAATGCAAAATGTATTCAAGCAATTTTCAGAAACATGGAAAATAATATAAGGGAAAATTTTGTGTAATAATGATAAAATAATGAATCATAATGTTACAAACACAAATACTATGGAACACAAAAATGCACCTTACACTTCACAAGCTTGATTCATGTTCCCTCAGTTCACTAAGAAATCTGTTCCTGAAATTTCGGTACTGCATGTGATTTCATGAGCTTTATACTGACACTTTCCAGGCTAAACATTATAGTTGTGGATCCAACACATAATCATCACAATCAATTGAGCAACAAAATTAAACAAATCTAAAAAACTATCCACCAAATGAAATTAACGAGACTAAATGGTCATGTTCTTTGCATGGTATAATGGTATCCTCAAAACTCACCTTGTGCTTGGATCCAGTGGTTGACAGGTCATTGGTTGCAAGGGTTGATATATTCCTTTCTGCTGGGGAGTAGGAGTTTCCAAATGAGGACCTCGATTAAGGCACATCGCAGGACCATTGAGAACATGGGTGTGGGATCCTGGGGAACTTGCATTGTAAGACGGCTGCTGGCTGTTGTAGTCAGGACAAGGCACCAGAGATGAACGACCCATCTCCTGATTTTTCCGAAACTTTGTGCTATATTTGTAGAAGTCTGACATTTCAAAAGGTTTGGTCACTTCCCGATAAGGCTGCCACTTCCCAGCCTGAACCACTGTGTGATTCTTTGGTGACTCAAATGGCACAACTGTGTCAAAAGTCTCATTTTTACTTGCGGACACATGATGCACAAAAAACTGAGGACGCTGTTCACTGGATACATTGCTACTACTTCTTGAAAGATTACTTGAAGCATCACTTGTTGCTGGTCCACCAGGTTCTGGAGATCGCTTTCGCAAGGATGAAGCTGGTCGGGACTGTGGTTCTTGTGGGACTTGTGAAGGAGCTGCATCCAGTGATGTTTCATACCATTCCTTCTCTTTATGCTTCCTATTTAATGTGTCAGTTGGCTGTGGATCTACACTACCCAGAGACTGTGTTCGGAGCAGTCCTCCCCCACGTCCATCCATTCCCAAACTGTGCTCTGGATATGTCTGATTTGGGAGCAATGCTCCGCCTCCTCCCCCACTCACAGAACGAGTACTGTGCAACACCTGCTGAATATGAGGTTCATCACTTCGACTCTGCTTCGTCTCCACAGCAGGACACAAGATTGAATGATGTGTTGAAGTGTGTCCATATTTGGATACACCATACATAACACCCTGATGTCCTTGCATTTGGCTCTGAATTTCCAAGTCCTCACTACTCCATGACTCCAAACAAGGACTGCTGCTACTGTGTGAGGGAGCAGCAGCTTTCCGTCGATCCAAGCTCCCAAACCTACAATTCAGCATGAATAAGAAACTACCAGCTATTCAAAGAATACAATATTTCATGTCAATCCTTATCTTCTTGGTTGCAGCACTGAGTAGTAGTAGTGGAAGAATGGATAGAGGAGAAACAATCCTATGAAACAATGGTAACAACCTACATGATACGACGACCCAGAAGACTACAGCCACATACTCACCATTGTCAGAAATCCCAATATTTTACAATTCACTGCATTTTAAATTGAACACAAGTATTTAATCAATATATATTTGTTAATTGGATGTTTACTTAACACAAAAATAAATAAATACATAAACTTTTCTAAGTCTAGAAGGAGGCTCTCAAGTCATAGTAAATGCAATATTACATGAGTAACCAAGAAAAAATGCATACATAAGCTTCTTTTACAACTCTACTTAAATATTTTATACAATGACAATAATTGGAGAACAGCATTGTGAATTAATTGAAGACCAAACAATACTATTAAATATTACATTACATCTCACATTTTTGGAAGATGCATCAAACAGAATATAGCGTCATACATGTCAGTGACAGTCACTTCACGCATTCAGAGCTTGGAAATCTGACGTCTGACTAGTTTCTCAAAACCACGTCTGTTCTTCACTTATAATACAAGGTGATTATAAACATTCTTTATATTTTTACAAAATGTATTATAAAAATGTATACTGTGCACAATAATTAAATTTATAAAGCATGAACCGGAATTCTCAAAGTTTTATCACACACTTTCGCTACAAGCCATACTGGTGACTCAACACATCAAAATGATGTCATTTCAAACACTGAACAGATTCACAAACACTTGAATGGAAACTTTGAATGTAGGTTTTCATAAAAAATGCAATAATGTTGTCCAATTTTAACCATGAATTTTTAATAAAATGACCCAATATTACATTTCATGAAAATACATTCTCAAGTATATGCATTCAGACAGACAAAGTAATGTTAACAGGTCCTCTGCAGCGATGCGTACATGTATAAAAAAAGATCCAATTGTATAAGAATTAAAGGAGCATAAGCATGAGCAGGGGTAGCTCAGTGAGTATAGTGACCAACTACAGACTGGATGACCGGGCTTTGATCCCTAATAGAAGCAAAGGATTTATCCTCTAGCCTGTGTCCAGACCTGTTCTGGGGGCTACCCAGCCTCCTGTCTAATGGGTACCAGGGTCCTTTCCCAGGGGTAAAGCGGGGCCGGGGTGTGACGCCAACCACAATAGGAGCTATACTTCTCTCCCCCAAGCACTTACATGGCTTACAGTGGGACAGATTTACTTTTACACATAAGAATAGGAATAATACAAACCTATCGTGATCCCACCTCTTCCTCTCCTGATTCCAACGGGATTGTGCATGAGTTGGGGTTTGTGGAACTAGATATCGTGGCATGGGAGCAGATGTCAGACGCGTGCCAGAATCCACCTCAACATATGGTCCATAATCATGTCGCATCCAGTAACCGGGGAGAGTGGACGCAGATGTTGGAGTGGGGCCTATCTCCAACTTTGGACGGTGATTTTCCAGTTCACTTCCTAGTGTTACATACTGTTGCATGTAGTGTACATTCCCAAATCCAGAGCTCGTTACCAACCCACCACTGCCATGTCTGAATGAACACAGATTAAATAAATTCTTAAATACAATGTGAGGTTTCACAATAAAGCGCCAAAATATGACAGTAACCCCTGATATGAGGCTAACTTGGCCATGCCACAGCTCAGGCAGTTAATCATCAGCTTCTTACCACAGAGGCCTAGGTGCCCATAACAGTCCCTGTAGGATTTGTGGTGGACAAAGTGGCACTGGGACAAGTTTTTCTCTGGGTTCTTCAATTTTTCCATCAATATCATTCCACTGCTACTTCATATTCACTCACTGTAATCTGGGAGCTGAATGATGGGCCCATTAGTAGCGACAGACACAAAGAGACATCTCCACTTTTTTACAAACTAGAGCAGGGCGCTCCTTTCGGAGCTCCTGAGGAGGGTTGGTCAAGTTTGTAAAACGCCACCAACCTTGTGTAAGAAACAAAAAAACCGCTCCGAATTGAGGGTTAAAACAATTGACCAACACCCCCTTCTGGGGGGTTGGTTGCTTTTTGAAATCTTAAGTAACACGCTAAACTAACTCCCCTTCGGGGGGGTTAGTTTAGTGTCTCATTCAAGTGTTTTAACCCCTGAGTAAGAAACTAAACTAACCCCACGAATGGGGGGTTTAACCTCTCCGCGCGGACTGACGTGAAAATTCGTGAGCCATAAATACCCCCTAGTGGATATCGGTACAGTGTACGTCGGCTGCAAGCTTAATTTTTGTAGCCCATAACTTTTTAACGAATAACGCCAGCGGAATGCGGTTTGCACTGCTTTGTTCTGAAAAGATAACTGTATGTGGACATATGGCAACACCGCCACATTCCATTGAGTTCTACCTGGGAATCTAAAAAT